TTTTTCTGAAATTTAAAGTTAAAATTCAAGTTTAATATGAATGTATTTGTTTGTAACATGAACTAAAAATAGTTTCTGAATTTCAATTTCCTGTTGAAAAATTCTGACAAAATAATGTATCTTAAAGTTATAAATTTCAAATTTCACGATGTTAAAATTTTTTTTGCAGTCATCGCTATTAAAATTTAAAAGCACGAAAAAATTAAATGAATGATCCCAAAAAATTGAAGCTGTTAGATATTACTTGATTAAAAATTTCATTCGCATTAAATATGATTTTTTATTTCAAGTCAGATTATAATTTAGCATCATTTGAATCTCAAGAAACGAGAATCGAAATTTAGTTTTATTTTTGTTTTGAATTCTCGTCTGAAAATGTGTAGTTTTTTTTTCTCCTTTGAAAAAACACATTGCATTAAAAAAAATTGAGTTATTACTTGCATTAACACAATCTTTACTTACTCAATGCACCAAAAAAATATTGAGAAATATTCTTTCAAATTTAAGCTATTATTTTGTGTTAATTATTATTAATAGGGAAAAAGTAGAAAAAAATTTACTCTTCATCTGAATAGATTACCAAAATATTGAAATGTCTTTCTTAAATGAAGATTTGGTTTCAAATATTTCTAATTTAATCTTTGAGCTATTTTATTTCCCTCATTTTAATAATTTACTGTTATTTATGGGAATGATAAAATAATATGAGTTTTAATTGTATTCTATTATTTTCTTTTATCCTACTTAAGGATGTTTTTTTTTATCATCAAGCGCCAATCAATAGTTTTCTTACTTACAACTAAAACCTAAGATTTACACGAAGATTAATAAATGCTCCCAAGAATATAACAAAATACCAACTTTTTTGGCGATCTTCTTGAATTATCATCCGTTAGTGACAGTTACGTTACGCTTGAATTAATGGGGAGTGAAACGAAGCGTAACACATCGGTCAATGAAAGTTTATACCATAAAATGAATAACAGTTTCCATAGTTGAGAAATAGCTTTTAAATTATACCCGGAAATATACTAATGTGTAACAAAATTCAATATTGAGAGCAAAGACATTTTTTTTTATTATTAAAACAAGTCATTATGAGAGGTATGGTATAAAAGTGTATATGGTGAACGAGATGAAAGCAAAAAGCTTTTATTTTTAGTTTTGTTTAGTTTTTATTTCAGTTTTATTCAGTAAAAGGAAGATTAGATTGAAATTATTGCATTCCAGCAAAAGAGCTTCCGGCATTTTCTTTATTTTTATTTACACTGAATTGAATGAAATGAAGCAGTCATTGGAACAGTTTAGATGTTAGTAAGGCTTTGAGAATAAAAAGTACCCCTAAAGTAAAGAATAAAAATCCGGGATAGCCAGGTTGGTAGGGAACTGGACCCATGTCCAAGAGTTCGTGGATTCGATCTCCGCCGGCCAAGACTCCCCGTGTAGTAAATGGCGACTGACGCATGTTAAATCAGTCGAGTCGCTAGTCCTCCAGGTTCCCATAACAAATCAATACATTTAGAGGTACTGATCTAGGAGCTTCTTTGTCTTCTGCATTGGTTCAAAGTTACAAGGCTACGGAGTTCAGCATTAGTAGTTGTAAACCCAAAATTGGATCGGCTGTTTAACGACGGTTATAAAAAAAAACTTCTTTTGGGGGTGAAATGAGCAAATTTATTGTGTTGAAATAAGATAGCAAAAAAAAAGTTAAAATTGCTCTCAATTTTATTTTAAATACGAAGAGTTTTAGGTGGCGTTCATGCATGATTACTGATCTTAAAATCTTCTTATTCCTATGATAGGCAAACGATGAATTTGTATTTTTTTTTTTTTTAAAGAAAATGCTAAAGTCAATTTTGTTGCGTCTGTCGGATATGAGTATTTTTTGTTTAATAAAAAGTAATTAATGTCTTTTTTTCTTCATTGATATAAGTCTAAAAATGAAAATGAGTAAACGATACCACAAAACATTTTAATTGTCTTACAGTAATAAACGTTACGTCAGTATGTTATTTCAAAGAAAGGAACTTAAAGGAAATAAAAGTGATTTAAACAATTAAAAAATTGCAAGTATTTGATAATTTCTTAAATTGAATATTCGCCGTCAAAAAAAGCGTAAAATTACGAAAAATTCGAAGAAAAAAATTTATAATAGCAAGCTGGTTCAAAGTAGACATGAATAAATATTTCTTAATTATTTCCTTATATTTAATGTAAGCCATTTTCTTATTCAAAACCATCGGTGTAAATTAAGTTCTCCAGAAAAAGTCCGCCTCTTTAAAGCAGTGAAGTAATTAATACATTTTCAAAGCAGTTTGCAGTTACTACAATTAAAAAATGTAGATGTAGTTAACTACATTTGTAATAAAGTAGTTGAAGTTAGCTACAAAAATAATGTAGTTTTTCCGAGAATTGGGTTCGCGCTTGAATGAATTTAAAAATGTTGGCAAAAAAAATCAATTTGAGTATTTGTATTTAACAGTATAATTTGATTAAATTTTGAAACGCAATGATGACTATTACAATCGTAAAAAGAAATGAAAAATTGTTAATTCCAACTGTATTTATTCCACTTTCAAAAACAAACTCTCATTTAGTATGACATACGCAAATTGTAAGTGTGTATTATATATTTGACAATGTTGTGCAATAATACTAAATAGAATTCATTTTAAATTTAAAATTTTGAATCGATCATGCAGTTTTGAAGTCTTCATTCAAAGATGAAAAAGAAATTAATTTTTTCTTCAAAAAATTTAAGAGAATATACATCTCTTGAAACTATAATGTATTTTCGTAACGTTCATTCATAGATAAAATAATTATTCTTCCACGTTACAAGTTAGCGTGATGATCATTTTTTAATTTAAGCACAACGACCACCGTCTTCCGCATTAACAGTCCACTTCCTATGGTATAATGTGATTCATTTTTTCTCCATTCTGTGCCTTAGACTTGTAAGTACACTTTGCGGTTATGTTATTAATTTTGAAAGCAAAAAATCAAAAAGATACAAGTTTCATGTTTTATAATAAAATATGGCATGTTGCTATAAGAATATTGTAAAAATATAGTATAGTAGTTATTTATTCTGATATTTCTGAACTTGGAAAATGAACTAAAACCACTTTAAAATAAGCTTATAATTATGACGATGAAGCTGATTTATCTCACGAAATATTAAAAACTTTATGTTAAAATCCTTCATTTAACTTCTACAAAGTATTACATTTTTATTTAATAGGATCTAAACTTTCACAAAAATTATTGTTAGAAATCAAATTGTAAAAATTTGTATAAATCCATATATATTTTCAAAATTATAGATAATTCTTACCTTTTTCATGTGAAATTATTTAAGTTTGGTGCAGTGTAACCGATTCCAGCTCTTGCCTAGTAACTCTATATTTAATCATCTTTACATTATTAGATTATATGTTGTATATTATATTATATGATCTATAACAATAAAAGGAAAGGTTTGTATGTCTGTATGTGATGTCTGTTGTAAATCAGAAACTGTTTGTTCTATCATCTAGAAATGTGGACAGCGGATGCAAAAAGCAATGCTGACCCCCGATCCTAAAATTCACTCGAAATTTTCAATTACTTTGATTGTTAGATCCGCTTGAAAAATGAATTTATTTCATTAGCTTAGAGCTCGCCATTGATAAAAATGAGACTGTTGCAGGCGATTTTGTTCCTCTAAGTATTTTAAAGATATCAGGGATATTTATTAGCTAATAGTTCTCATTAAAATAAGGAGTTTTTTGTACGTTCTTTAATATTAGTTTTTTATTCGTTATACCAGATATATAACCTTAATGAATAGCCTGAACATGATAGCATTGGTGGATTAGGTCGCCAAATTAGTATTCCTAAGTTATTTACAACACGCGTTTGTTTCGTCTTAAGTTATGCTTTCAAAACTTGAATCCTTAAAACTAAATAACTTTAAATCTACAGTAAATAGAATAAAAAAATAATAAATGATATACTGAAAAGTAAAATTAATGGAGAGGAGGTTCTTTTAAGGGAGCCGTTAATACTGTTATTGACTTCAACGAGGCTTAATTAATTTTAGTAACGAAAATCAAATTGAAATAAAAAAAAATAAGTTGTGTACTAAGAAAAATTTTCTATGGAGAAATAGTACAACGCAAAAGAAACTATTATACACGCCAATTATGCTTAATGAAGTTTAGTAATAATAACTAGAAGAAATGAAAAAATATGCTATGCAATATAAATCAAGGGTAATAGCAACTAAAATAAAACGAAATTAATTGCCATATTATTGATGCGCCGCTTAATTAATTCGGGTAATAATGACTAACTGAAACTAAAAATAAGCTATGTTAAAAGCAATATTTTTTGAGAAATGGTATTCTTTCGATTAAGAGAAACGTCAGTTTCAATGGGTACCAAATGTTAAATACTTATTAAAACCGCATCCGTACTGAGAAGCTTTAATATGAAAAGAAGCCCTTTTGAGAAGGGATCAGTTATCATAATTATCATTATCATAAGTCAATCATCGGAATGCAATTAATATTTATTTTTCAAGGATGAACTACTGAAAATGCTTAAACTAATCACACAAAGGAAGGGCAAAAAATTTTAATAAAATTTTAAAAAAAAAGGAATTCACATTTCAGTTTTGTACAGGATTTCGTAGAGTTGTTCAGTACTGATTGTTTACTTTTTTCTGATCCGTATGAGGAACAGGTATAAAGTTGGTAACTTCATATTTAATACGCAAGTTTTCTAACCTGTATATCACTTTTATAGTTAATTAGTTTGCGGTCGGTAAAAGAATTTTGAAATGTTTTTCTTTCCAACCAATTCTATAACAAACATTTTTCCATCAGTAATTCCAAGTTCAATGCGTTTTATCTTATCAATGCTTTAATGAATACTGTAGTTTAATCATAATTGTATGGAACTTACATAATGAGTTGTAAGATGATATCATTTTAAATTCTAAAAGTGTTACTTACCGAAATAAACAGGCGAATTTTTTTTCTTCACACTATCATCTAGGAAGGAAGTGCCGATCGTATAAAATGCCAGAGATCCGAAGCCTTTCAAGAAATTTCCAAAGAAAAATATGGACACAGCAGTAAAAGTCGGCGACTTCTCGCAAAAATGGTCTTTTTCTTTTAAGTCACAAATTTCGTATTTAGTGTAATTGACTAAATGCCGTACATCTTCGGTGTCAAAATTTCGTATGCGCCCGTATATAAAATACGGAATAGACATGACAAAGCAGCTAGCCACAGCGACCAACATACCAAACGCTACAATCCGTGGCCTGTGGGACTTTCCACCGAAATAACCGAGCAGCATCCCAAACAGCACAGGACTTATTTCGTCAGAAATCATTATGATTCCGGTGACTTTGGATTCATAGGCATAGCGCTTCTCTAAGGTCGATAAGCACCCCACCAAATATGTGAAAAAAGCACCCTGAAGAACACCCAAAATACTGTGGTTTATGAGAAAGACTTTTGGTGAATTGAACTTTTGCAGCCATCTCGGTGTAAACCCGCCAATCCCGCAGACTGTATCTTCTTCTTGATCATTGTCCGTTTCCTGACTGGGTACTGGGGTAAATCCTATGTTGGGTAAGTTCTTTTTTATGCTTGGCACTTTATTGGACATTTTGTGTAAGTAGTTCCGGGTATTTTAAGGAAGAAAAAAAAGTTATTGCGATGGCCTGCTCAAACCAGCCATGTCATAGAGAAAGAGTTATTAGTTTGTATCATTCATGGTTCATCATTCCGTCTTTATAAATTAACAAAGATCCTCCTAATACTGGATTTAAACTCTTCAAAACTTGACTTCAAACTCTTGCGAAATTGATTTCTTCTCTTGTAATCTGGATTTCAAATCCTTGTAAACTTGACTTCAAATCCTATTAATCTTAATTTTAAATATTTGTAACCTTTACTTCAATTCCTTGTCATCTCAAACTTTCGTACCAAATCTTTTTTGTGCTCTTGACTTTAAATTCTGGTAATTTTCTTCCAAAGAATAGTGTTGTAGTTGATACTTCCTGCTTCCTTCACTTCTCCATCATTGAATGAAATGAGTATTTCATAACCTCAGCTGAGAAACTTTTTCCTATCTGATGATGACGTTTAAAAAGAGAAGCAGTTGATAGCGCGTAATCGCAAAAATAAGAAGCTTCGGTTTCAAGTGCATAGAAAATAATATATATACGTCTTACGATCCCTGAGTTTGGTTATCAGTTTATTTTTTTTAAAGCCTGGTTTAAAGAATTTCAGGAGCAATTGCGATAGATAAAAGAATAGAATTAAAGTTGGAATTACATAAGCGATTTCTTACTTGGCATCATGAAATTGTTATCTTGTTTTTCTACAGACTGTCTTGATAAATTATTGTAAAAATAACTGATAACGATCATTTAGATGTTTCCATATCCTACACTAAAGAAAGGTCAATTTTCTTATATTTAAACATTACTTTATATTTATAATTGTCAATTTCAACGCTCAAAGAAGCTATTTATACGAAATGACAGCAATTCGAGGAAAGAAATTAAATAGTTCATTTTGTTTCAACTTATAATTGGTTTAAACAGCTTTTAGCGATATTTCATTCGCTAATATTTAATTGTCATTCAATGAAAGATGAAGAAAATATGTCTATATTTTGTTTGTTCCTTTTTTTTTCTTTTTAAATTTACCAAAAGTTCGGCACAAATGTCAAACTTTTCTATGGCACGTATTTAAGCAGATTTACTGAACAATATTATAGTCAGATTAGGATATTAAACTCTACTTTCATTATGCTAGTAGTCTTGTGTCGTCATTTCTTAAAACACATGGCTAAACTACTTTAGAAATTTTTAAAATTACTTATACTTTCATTAATACTTGAAAGATTAATAGTTTTTTTTTACATATTGATGCACTTAATTAATTTATTTATTCCATTTAGTAATTTATTTACTTTATATATCAACGTTTTTTTCCTCTAAAGCATTGAACAATGACCGCAAGGAACAGAAAGAGTAGAATTTTAAAATTTTACATAACATTTACTATTGCCTAAACCGATATAAAAACATAAAAAAAGGGTTTTATGTTTTGATGTTTGTAATTGCATTAAAATTTTTATTATTATGTCAGACAAAAATTATTCTAGATAAAACAAAACTATCAATTTATATAACTAAAATATATTTATTATTTGGTTATATATATTACCAAAAAAAAGGGGGATTGCAGAAATAAATTACTGTCCCAAAATGTAAGTTATGTAATAAGAGGATCAATATTAGTTGAGTTAAAAATTTTTCATTCTTCTTCAAATACAATTTCTGGTTCTCCAAAAATAAAATTTTTGTCTCAATCGTAATTTCATATTTATATATTTTTATTGCCTTCTTACTAACCTAAGAAGTTTAAATTCGAATTTAGGTCCTAGCTTCTTCATTGAAAGAATATGTTGTTTTTTTCGGAGAAATTCTTTCTACAGAATGCTCATTATTTTGAAGAGTAGCATAACTTGTTAGAATATAGCCATACGAAACGCAAGGACACGATATACAATACCGTTTTATTAAACATTGCGCTCCAAAAAATTTTTGGATATCAAAATAGAATAGTTTCAGATTATATAGTTTCCAAAAGAAGTTCAGTTTCAAAATCAACACATTATTTTTTATATCCTTTTTAGGGTATTTAACCTCCTTTTACTGTTTAAATTTTGTCAGTCCGTTCTACGCTTTTTATCAAAAAGAGTAAAAATATAATTCCATCTCAATTAATACTTTCTTCTGAAAATTACAGTTGAAACTTGAATTTTCGGTAAAGAATAAGATTGTATTTTAATTTTACGAAGTACACTTCAGAAATCAATTTCACACAATGAATTTTTTGGATAACACTATTTTTTACAAGAGTCATTTTTAAATTTGTGTCGTACGTTGTAGTTAAGCCATAACTTTGTCTGAAAATGGCAGCTAAAAAGATTCTGATATTGGAATGTTTGGTATGGAACATTTCAAATAAGCACATTTTTGGCAATTTTGAGCTCCTCGTTGTCAGGAAAAATAAGGAAACTAAAAACATTCTTCCATGCTTACGGTTTCTCGCTTTAATTTTGAGTTTTATTCTAATGTAAAGAATGAAATCAAAGATGTCACTTTGCATAAATAAAATGTACGACTCATTTTTCAAGATTTTAAATAGAATATTCTATAGGAATCTTTGTGTTGAAAACTGTTGTACTCTGAAAATCGTCGATACCTTTTCTTTTCCCCTATTTTTTTATTTGATTGAATTTAACTTGTATGACAAAAAAAATTTCAGAGCGTTATATTTTTTTGTTACACTTTATATTTGTCTTTTAATGAAAATTTTGAAAATAGGAAGATTTTAATGTCTTACGTAAGCGTTGCTTAAAAATAATTAAATCACAATCCACTCCGTTAGAAATTTACGTAATATTTGAATGGGCTGTGCCATCAGAGTAATTCTGCCTATTCTCTAAGAAAATGTAAGTGGCAAAGAACATTACTGTTGAATTCTCTGTAAATAAGCGAACTGGAAAGATTGAGCATTAAGTATTAGTTTATCAGGTTGAAAATACAGACTAATAAAGTGAGTGGCTGTTCAACCAGCAATTTGATTACCTTTGTAAATCTGATTCATGAAGTTCACAGTAGTTGGTGGATTATTCAAATTAATTTCACATTCGTTTTACTAACGTTTACTATGATTCAATTTCGCAACCACTGTTAAACAGCCGACCCCTTTTTTAGGTTTTTTAAGTTAAGAGAACTTAAATTGTTCAACACCGCAATCTTTTCATTTTGAACCCAATCCAAAAGCGTGAATCCCTGGATCACACTTTGGGACAAACTAGATTTCGTGGAAGACTTTACGAGTGGAATAACGTGTATTTGCGTTATATGGGGAAGAAAACCAACGATAGCCATCCACGGTTAACTCAACGACAAAGGGATTTTTACCCATAATTTGTCCACCTCCAGAGATATTTTACATTTAGAACTGCAGTCGGTGAGCGCCTTGAGTAGAATTCTTGTCAAAAAGCCATCTCTGGTATGCGATATGGGTCACCCTATTTGAAGGCTTTATCCTCTGAGCCTCCTCAGATCGAAGAGTTAAAATTATGGAATCTTAATTTTCACATAACATTTTTGGGGCACTTTAATATCCTACGTTATAAATTGAGGTTACTTCGCCACATACTGACTTTATCTCTTAACTCTACAATTTATGAATTGCGTGTCATTTACAACAGCACGCTGAGGAAACATTTTGAAGGTGATGATTTGGTGGACATGTTATCTCGGTTGTCCGGGTAAATTTCTCCATCAGGACTTACTCAAAGGGAATGGAATGTCTATAATCTGTTTCAAGTTTAGAAAAAACCATTTAGTCTGTTTGCATCGAAGTGCAAGCTAAATGGAAGCTAAGCTCTCAGCACGAGAACGATTACCAATATCGCCAACTCTTGAAACGACGTTTACACGGTCTTCTTTTTGCTTGCTTTCTTAAATCATGTGAAATCTGTTGAATAATCAATAAACAAGTATTACGAATTAATAAATGATATCAAAAAATCGTAACAAATATGTGCCCTTCTAATTCGCCTTTAAAGAAACAGATGAAAGGATGATAAATATTGTTCCTTGATGATTGTCTTCTACAGCGAAACAAAAGTAAAGAAATTCGTTACTTGGCATTTGATTTGTTAAGAGCAGAGGTCGGAAGAACTGCATTATTTTTGTAGTTTACTACAACTTAGCTACTTTGTTACAAATGTAGTTAACTACATCCACGTTTTTTTTTCTAAATTTAATGACTAGAAACTACTTTGAAATTGTAGTAACTACTTTAAGGAGACGAACTTTGCTGGAATTTACACCAAATGATTTTCAAAATGGTTTTGAATAAGAAAATGCCTTACATTAAATCTAAGGGAACAATTAAGAAATTTTTATTAAAGTTTGCAAGAGCGAGTTTGTTTTTCCAAAATATTTTTTTCGAATTTGTTCATTTAACCTTCAACAACTTTTTATGCATTTTTTGATAGTGAATATTTAAATGAAGAAATGCGGAATTATCAAAAAATTTTAACTTTTTAATTATTTAACGCTCTTTTATTTCCTCTCAGAAATTAAGTACATCGAAAATGCGTTCGAATGTGAAAGTGTAACCTAAGTGATTCATTATCTTTTATTCGTAATACGTGATTTTAAAAAGGTTATTTTTGTTAACGCTCAGTCGTTGCCACAGGTTCATTTTCATTACATCCGTTGTCGGACCCATCAAATTCGAAACACTTAATGCGTCAGAATCGTATTACTTCTCTCAACTAATGTTAAAAGTAGTTGTCAGGAATTGCTACTGTTTTTGTTTTGTTTCTTTGTATCGCAATGCTCACTACACTACTTTTTTAAAAAGTACTACGATAAAATAACGATAAAACGATAAAAAAAAACTACGATAAAATACGCTTTAGAGGTTCAGTGAAAACTCTTGCAACGTCTTTTTCAAGAACGAATGTTCTCCTTATTTATCGAAATACGTCGCCAAATCTTGGATTCCAGGAAGACTATGCAACCCCTTTTTTTTAATAATTCTATGATATATACCGTAAAAGATAGCACAAATTAAATTTCTGCCCTACGAGTTTTAACTTTTAATAGCTTTTATACAGTTTTGAAAGCATAACTATATAATTCTAGTTTAGCTAAATAAAATGGAACTATATACAGTCGAGGATGATTAGTTAAATCCTCAATGGTCTTTTTTCTTAACTTGCAACGAAGTATAGAAAAGATTTTTGTCTCTCAAACTGATAGAGAAGTGCACGATATTTTACCTAGACTTTTTATACTGGGTAATGTAAACCCAGCTGATGATAATACAATAATCACAGAATAATTTGATTTGATATTTTTTTTAAAGAAAGCAACGAAATTGAAATTATATTTAATTAATTTTGTTTCATTTTTAAAGAACTGATTCTTACTATTAAGAAGATTGAAATCATTTTTATTACATTCATTTTTTACATTTTTATTTATATAAATTTTAAAATAATTTTTGACTCCGCCAGTATACGAGAGAAAGGACACAAATTTCTAGTAAATTGTTTTTAATGACTAACATAAACAGTGAACACATTGCTTAGTAAACATTTTATTTTAAGTTCACAGTTTATAGCCATGAGTTTTACATCTTGATAAAGTTGTCTCCTGTTTAAAAGCAAAAGAATGCAGAGGTTTCATTTTCACATTTTTATCATACTTGAAATGTTTATCCTGAATTTCTAAGAAATTGGAGGGAAACACTGTGATTAATGGTACTACGTCTAAAAACTTTCATTTATTCTTATTTTTTTAATTGCAATTTACCAAGTCTTCAAAAAGTTATGA